GATCCCACATACAGACCGGCCGCTCACTGGCTGAGCAAGGTGCGGGTGCAACACCGAGGGTTGCGATCCCGTTGCCGGTCCCGGTCCGGTACTGGCGCGACACTGAGGGTTGAGATCCATTGCCGGTCACGAAAAAAGACAAAAAAAAAAAAAAAATGAACTAAGACAGAAATTGGTACTGAGAGGGAGGTGCTACTATAACAAATACCTAAAAATGTGGCTTTGGATCTGGGGAATAGATAGAGAGGCAGGAACAGTTTTGAAGGGAATGCTAGAAAAATCCTATATTGTTATGGATAGAGCATTAAGGGCATTTCTGTTGAGGGCTCAGAGGAGGAGAGCTGTAGGGAGATCTTAGAGATTACTTAAGTGGTTATAAATTGAATGTTGCTAGAAATATAGACAGTAAAGGCCATTCTGATGAGGTCTCAGATGGAAATGAGGTGCAAGGTATTAGAAACTGAAAAAAGGGTCATCTATAAAAAAAAAAAGAAACTGAAAAAAGGACACTCTCGTTATAAGATGGCAAAGAACTTGGCTCATTTGTATCCATGTCCTAATGCTTTTAGAAGGTAGAACTAACTCTTGAGTGATGTGATAGGATATCTGGTTGGAGAAATCTAAGCAAAGTGTTGAATGAACTGCATGGGTTCTCTTGACTGCTTATAGTAAAATTTGAGAAGAGAGAAATAAAGCCAAAATTTATAATCAAAAGGGAAGCAGAAGTTAAAGATTTGGAAAATTCTTATTCAGGCCAGGTTGTAAAGAATGAGAAAACATGTTTAGGAGAGAACGCCAAGGGTGTGGTGAGTGAGTGTTTGATAAGGAGATTAGTCTGGTTAGAAGAAAGCCAGATGCTATTCATCAAGACAATGGAAGAATGACCCTGAAGAAATTTCAGAGATTCATCAAGGCTGCCACACCCTTCACAGGCCCAGAGTGCCAAGGCTTAAGGGACAGAACTATGTTAAAAGAGGGACCTTAGGCAACCATGGGACCTCAGCACCTACTGCCCTGCACTGCCTTAAGTCTCTGCTCCTCACATTCATGTGCAGTGCTCCTCAGCCACCCCAGGCATTGCTCAAGGAGTCCCAGGTATGGCTTGGACCACGCCTCTGCAAGGCAGTGAACCTTGGTGGTATCCATGTGGTGCTAACTCTGTAGGCACACAGAGTTCACAAGCTGTGGAGGCATGGCTACCTCCACCTAGATTTCAAAGGATGTCTTGGACAGCCTTGGGAGCCAGGCAGAAAATTGCCACAGAGAAAGGACCATCACAGAGAGTGCCCACTTGGACAATGCCTAGAAAAGCCATGTGGGCAGAGCCACTCCAGAGCCCCTGAGAACTTCAGAGCTACAATTCCAATCTGGGAAAACTGTAGGCATGCAACTCCAAGGCATGAGAGCTGCTGTGTGGGATGCACCCAGAAAAGCCATGGGGGTGGGGTCCCCTGGACCCTTGGAGGCCCAACCTCACCCTAGGGTATCCAGAAGGCAGGACATGGAATCAAGGAAGTTTATTCTCAAGCCTCAGGATTTAATGTTGTTTGCCTTATTGGGTTTTAGACTAACTTGGTACCTCTTATGCCTTTCTTTTTTTCCTATTTCTTACTTTTGAAATGGGAATGTCTAGCCTATGCCTGTCCCACCATTGTATTTTGGAAATACATAACTTGTTTGATTGCACACGTTCAAAGTTGGTGGGGAAATTTGCCTCTGAATCATACCTTGAGTCTCACCTATGTCTGATTTAGATTATATTTAGGTAAGAAGTTGGACTTAGACTTTAAAATTGATGCTGGAACAAGTTAATAAGAAGTTGGACTTAGACTTTAAAATTGATGAATTTTGAGTCTCTTGGGATAGAATGAATATATTTTGTATGTAAGAAGATATGAATTTGGGAGGGCCAGGAGCAGAATGCTGTGGTTTGAATGTTTGCATCCCTCTAAAATTCATATTAAAACTTACTCCCCAGTGCAACAGTATTAAGAGGTGGATGCCCTTAGGAAGTGATTAGGCCAGTGAGGAAGAGAAAAGGAGACATCAGTTTCATGTAAGTCAAGGAAGAAAAAGTTGTGAAGAGGGGTGAATCAGTCTTGGATTCACTGTGGAAAACAGAAACCATTCTAAGTATTTCAAGTAGAAAATGATTTAATACAGGGCCGGCCCGGTGGCGCACTGCTACAGTGCACCGCTTGGGAGTGCGGCGGCGCTCCTGCCGAGGGTTCAGATCCCACATACAGACCGGTTCCCGCTCACTGGCTGAGCGAGGTGCGGGTGCAGCACCGAGAGTTGCGATTCCATTGCTGGTCCCAGTCCGGTACGGGCGCGACACTGAGGGTTGCAATCCGTTGCTGGACACGAAAAAAAGACAAAAAGAAAAAAAAAATGATTTAATACAGAGAATTATGTGTATACATATGATTGGAAAATGTGTGTTGTAGTCGGGGCCAGCACTGGATGGATGCATGAGTTCAAGACACATCACTATAGATGATATCCTGAAGTCAGAAAGTTGCTGCTACTGCCGTTGAGCCTTTAAGGCATAGCCACAACTACCTCTTAACCTCCACAAAGCTGGTAACTAGATAATGGAATGTTTTTTCTGGCCCTTTCCTTGACCTTTCTCACCAGCTGAAATAACAGTGGGAAGATGGCCTCTTCCTCTCCTCTATTCTAAATTTCATGGGAATTCATCTTTTTGGTGCAGTCCAATTTACATATAACATGGTTCTCAAAGTGTGGTTCCCCAGACCAGCAACATTAACATTAGCTGGGGACTTGGTAGAAATATGAATTCTCAGGCCCCACACCATTTAGAAACTCTGCAGGTAGGCCTAACTGTTCTTTAACAAACCCTCCAAAGTTTGAGAACCATTGGCATAGACAATCCCAGCTTTCATAAGGGAGTCTGGAAAATAACAATTTTATCTCTAGTTCTGCAGTACAAGAAGGCATCATGGGAGTAGGAATGGCTATGGAGGGCCAGTGACCAAATCCAGCAAAAGCGAATGGTTGGTGGTGTCAAGTGCTTCAGTGACATGTGGCATATGATGGCAACTGAAAAGGAATTTTTGAATCTGGCAATTAGAAGATCATTGGTGACTTCTGAGAGAAGTTTCCACAGTGGGTGTAAAGGATGAGAGATGAAATGATATTAAAATCGAATTGTAGTGGATTAAGAGTGAACACTGAGGACTCTTACAATTGGTGTAGCTGTGTGACAAAGGGGAGAAATAAGTGGGTTTTTAGCCTGAGCTCAAATCTTCCACTTCTTCTTCATGACCTTGTCTGTGCTCTCTGCCACCCCAGCACCATTTCAGATAGCTCAGTTGCTTCTGCAGCTAATTAAAGAAGTTTGTGGAATACTTTGGGATGACTTAACTAAAAGTTCCAAGGGAGCATAAACTTCAATTTAAACAAACTTCAAACACTTGCAGCTTACAGTATACCTACAAGTTTTTTCAGGCCCACATGAGGAGTCTTCAAAAATTTCATGAAAAAGATTTGTATTATCTTTCAATTCCATTTTTCCACAGACTTTTTGAAGTACACACATATGTGCCAGACACTATGCTAGGCCCTTAATGTGTGTTATCTTTAATCTTTACAGCCACCATGTAAGGTGGGTAAGAAAAATTTAACTGATTTGCCAGTGGCCACAGTCTGTCTTGTCGCTCTGAAGTTTGAGGTCTTTCCACCATGCCATACTTCCTTGATCTATAAATTCTTTGGACTCACTGAAACATGTTTTAATAGCCATGTAATTTTCAAAAAGACATGGAGGTATGTTTTGAGTGAGAACATAGAAGTTTCAATTCATTGTTGTAATTTCTGAGAATTTTTTAGATATAGAAAAAAGTGCCTTATATACATACTGGTCTAAAAATTTAGTTTGAAATATTTGGTCTTTAAACAGCCTTTGCTGCTAGAAAATATAGCATTTCTAATTAATGTAATTTTTTTCAATAATAAAATGTTCCCGGATCTTTTTCTGATTATAAAGCTAATGATGTTTTACAATGTCAAGTAAAACCAAATTTGTCTCTTTTTGTACTACTCTTACTAGTTCTCAGGATCACATGTAGCCTATTAAGAAATTTCAACTTACAAATTAAAGTAAAAGTTAATAGTTAATGGACTCCTGAATGTTAACAGTAGCTCACTTTTCCTTCAACTAGTAAAACTTCTTCACTTATCAGAAGATGAGAGATTTAAAAATGCTACCCAAAGATGAACAAATCACTTCACAGCAGCTGCACCCCCTCCCCATCTCACCTCTAACCCCTCCGATCCTTTTTGGTCTATTCCTTGTACAGCATCCTGGGCTGCCTGTCTTGTGTTGCTTCCCCTCCCACAAGACATCACTCTTGCTTCTTTTCATAACATTATGATCTCTTCTTTCCTTTATTTGCATTAAAATATGCTCCTTTTCCTAACCTCTCCATTTCTCTGATCAGCACAAATAAGGCTTGGGTGGCTGGCTGGTTAGCTCAGTTGCTTAGGGCATGGTGTTACAACACCAATGTCAAAGGTTTGGATCCCCTCACTGGCCAGCTGCCAAAAAAAAAAAATAGAAGAGAGGCCTGTGAACACACACTCTCCTTTCAACCCATCATAAAGCAAAAACATTTAGGGCCAAAGCACCAAGTATTTCTTTTTTCTCTGGTAGGAATTACAAAATCCATTATTGGTATGATTTACTCTAGTAATAAGACTTAAATAACTTTAATGTTGATGAGAGTAAAATCACTTATTCCAAACCCTATGTGCCAATCGTGTTTTATTTTTTCAATTTTATTTTAAAATGTAATATTAACACTGGAATATACTGTTAAGAGTAGATTTGAAAGACTTCATTTTTATTTTATAAATACCTGTAATGATTTAACATCATGAAGTTTTTTTACCCAAAATTATAAATGATTTTAGCATTTGATCTTTCTCATTAGCTAAGAAATCTTCACAACAAACTTTTCATAAAAGAAACTTCACTGCAAGAGATGAAGACTGAGCTACAAAGTTACAAAGAAAATAATTTGCAACAGTCATTCCAGATAAAGTCCCTGAAAGATAATATCAAGGACTTACAGGAACTTATTGCTTCTCTAACCAGAATTAAGTCTTTGAAAAACACCAATATTCAGAGTCTTGAAAAAGGCAACTGTGATCTAACTGAACAAATTATAGAACTAGAAAACCACTTAAGGTAGGGAATTTTCTAGTTTATTTTCAAACATGTCTTTTGTCATAAGCTTGCAAATAGTATATGAACTCCAAATTCTTGATTGATCACAGAATTTAGATGTAGTAGAATTTCACTTAATATCTGACCCAGTACTATTACGTTTTTCAAAAATCATTTTGTATTGAGATATAAATCACATACCATAAGATTCACCCTTTTAAAGTGTACATATTCAGTGTTGTACAACAGTCATAACTATCTAATTTCAGGACATTTTCATCACCTTCAAAACATGGCTACAATTACAGGTATGTTAGACCTTTTGAGTGTGTCTTACATGTGCCTGATACAGTTTTTAGAATTAAAATGTTTTCTTTAGATAATTTGATTAATTTCTTTTAACCTGATTTAAATTCATGAATTCTATAGAGTGCAATTCTTAGACAGAAGAGGACATAAAGACATGGAAGATGGACTGAAACTTTAACCTAGCTTCTGGGTAGAAAATATTATCAATACCTAGTAATTGGTAGTCAAAACAATAATGAATTAACAATTGCTTATATCTAAGCTTTTACATGTGCTATTTTCTATTGCTGTATCATTATTTCTAATTCCGTTTCCCTTCATTGAATCCTAATTGAAGATCCCATTCAGGTATTGTTAAAATAGGAGTACTTGTATCCATGTGGAAACTTCTGATTTTCACAGTATTACCATTAGTGGCAGGCAGATATTCATACCCAAATTTCACCTTTAAAAGAATGGTTTCAAAATTGGCCTCCCTCAGGAGAACTACTACAGGACTTAACACTGGAGTGCTGGATGGTTTTTCTCTCCATTTCTCTACCATTTCTAGTCTCTCCCTAGAAATATTTGTTGTTGTTTTTTTTAAAAAAGATGACCAGTAAGGGGATCTCAACCCTTGGCTTGGTGTTATCAGCACCACACTCAGCCAGTGAGCAAACCGGCCATCCCTATATAGGATCCGAACCCGTGGCCTTGGTGTTATCAGCACCGCACTCTACCGAGTGAGCCACGGGCCGGCCTCCTAGAAATATTTGAATAGCTGCACAGCTCTTTTCATAAAAAAATACATTTTTACTTGTTATACATATTTAATATATTTTTAATAGGAGATATTTCTTTTTATTATTTTTAATTAAATTTCAAAAATTGGTTGAGTTGGTTTCATGATATTGTTACCTACTAATATTTTACACAGAGTACATCTGGTGGAAAGAGAAAAGGCTGAGCAAAAAGCAGACCTTTTGGAGAAAAAGTTATCAGGTGCTAGGAGATTCACCTCTTTTATGAATATGAAAGGACAAGAAGATTCATTAGATATTTTCATGATGAAGGTGAGAACAAATTTTGATTTCTGAAGAAATTGGATTTTTATAACTGTTACTCCAGGAGATAATGGGAAATGTTGAGTAGTTTGTTGGTCCTCTTCTTAATGGAGGATTATAGGAAGCAGTACAGCATGGTGAATTGGAAGACTTTCTGATGTATGGAGAGAAAGTGCAAGGAGAATCTGGAGGTCTCCGTGATACTGAAGAAAAAGTTAGAGGGAATAAGACTGTGAGAGAACTGGGAGAAGTGTGGTTAGAAAGTGAAATATTGGAGTTCTAAATTTCTAGTGTGGATTAGTTCCTGTTGCTTTCAAAATCTGGGCTTGTGGATCTGGATGTAGGTGGTTGAAGAGAGGTATAGGTGAAAGTTATTGAAACTGATGCACAGGAATCACAAAGCTAATTTGTTTGGTGGGTCATCTACATTGGCCATTGATGTCTAGAATTATGGTATGAGTTGGGTTTAAAAGAAGGACGTGAGAGAGGTTTCTAATAGACAGTGATTTATAGGATGAGTAAAAGATATTACAGAAGTCTGGTACAGGAGCATGGGGGACAGACTTGTCAAGGAAGTGGTGAAAGTTTATTGTGATATTCTTAGACTATCACAGCTTATTATATAGTCTGAATGTAAAACAAGGTCCTACATTGTCCCGACCTGTGGGATATTCAATGCAGACCCTGGAGGGGGGAGTGGGAATGGGATGGAAGCAAGAGACGTGAGAAATGGAGACAAGACAGTATTCTGATCGAGTCTTTTATTGGTTTGAAAGTTACAGCTTATATAGGGAAAAAGCAGGCATGCTGCAAAGGGTCTGGAATGTAAAGATATGATAACATCTTGAGGAGAACAAAGACAGGACATTCAAAGTAAAGGTTGATGCCCAGAATGTTTATGGTTAAACAGTTTCTGGAGAAAGATAAAAGGTCACTTGCAAATTAACTTGCATAGCCAGGAGCAAGCAGTTTCTGGCACAAGCAGATTACGAGCAACTGTCATGGCCACACAAAGAGGGGAGTGGGGCTGCTCGCTCCCAACACTACATGACCCAATTAATGTGAGAAGCCCTGTTTAAAAAAATTCAGCAACTACAGTCATGTGCTACACAATGACGGTCAACAGACCACATATAGGTGGTCCCATAAGATTATAATGGAGCTGAAAAATTTCTATCACCTAGTGATGTCATAGCCCTTGTGAAGTCCTGAAGCAACGCATTACCTTTTCTATGTTTAAATTCATAAATACTTGGGCCGGCCCGGTGGTGCACTTGGTAGAGTGC